GTGGAGAGGCACTGGAAGTTAAGAAGTATGTCTACTTAGGACAAGTGATAAGCGTGGAGCCAAACCACGAGGTTGAAGTAACTAGAAGAATAAGAATGGGGTGGAGAACATTTGGCAAGCACTCTCAAATCATGACTGGTAGATTACCATTCTCCCTCAAGAGGAAGGTATATAGCAGTTGCATCTTGCCAGTACTTATCTACACAGCAGAAACCTAGAGGCTTACAAAGAGGGTTCAGCTTAAATTGAGGACGATGCAGCGAGCGATGGAAAGGAAAATGGTAGGTGTAACCTTAAAGACAAGAAGAGAGCAGAATGGGTCAGGGAACAAACCGGGGTTAAGGATATCATAGTTGAAACCAAGAAAAAGAAATGGACATGGGCCGGACATGCAGCACATAGGCAGGATAACCGGTGGTCAATAATTGTAACCGACTGGATTCCCAGAGAAGGCAAACGCACGAAGGGGAGACAGAGAGTTACATGGGCCGATGAGATTAAAAAGTTTGCGGGTTTAATTTGGCAATGGAAAGCACAAGATCGGGTTGATTGGCGGATCACGGAAGAGGCTTTTGCCCTGCAGTGGGCGTACTCAGGATGATGATGCTGATGATATCACTGTTCAACACCTTGTGTCTGGTGCAGTATAGCCTTTGCTGCTTTTCAGCAGCAAAAAACTGAATGAACTAACTGTTTGACAAGAAGCAGTAAGCAGAAAGCTGTTTGTTTTTGACAGAGCCTAAGAAAGCTTTATTTATCATATTTTTTTTAAGTTTAAAACTCCTACAGGCACACACACCATGTGCTGTGCTGGCAAGGCTTTTGGGATTTAGGTATCAATCATAGTTTTACCGATTGTGCTTTGTATTTAATGCTCTTGTTTCAGTAAATACTGTATGTGTACTAATAAAATGGTAGGCTCGTATAAATACCACTAGGTCGCTCCATAATTTTAACTTGTTCCATTGCAGGCCATGGTGATTGCATTTCGATTGAGGCGAAATGGTAGAGGCATGTGTATTGTGTGATGTCAGTGAATGTTAAAGTACACCAGATGATCAAAATTTTTGGAGCCCTCCACTATGGCATCTCTTATAATCATATCGTGGATTTCGGATCTAAAACCCCCATTATTATTATTATTATTATTATTATTATTATTATTATTATTATTATTATTATTATTATTATTATTATTATTATTATTATTATTATTAATGCACTGCATTGCCTGTTTTTTATAGTATTGCATTGGGTGGTAGGTATTTGTATATTTATTAATTTATTGCATAGAGGTCTGTACCTATTATGATTATTATGATTGCCATAATTAGGGACCTGAAAGCTGTTGGGGACTGAAGCTTCAAATTTACAAGTAGTTAGGAAGTGTCATGTTTTTTTGAAATAATGTAATGCCGTCTTATTACATTTAGCCTGTATGTAATGTGTACACTTGTAACATGACTACAAGGGTTTTAAAAAAAACCTGCCAGCAGTTATGCTGTTTTCACTCTGAGGCCCTTGTATAATTTATTTCTCATGCAACACTGAGGCCACAGTTTTAAATGTGAAGCATTTCTTAGTGAGCCACAGGCACTTTGGTCATATTAGTGTTTCGTGGTCATCCCCTTCACATGGTAGATTTTGAAATGGACATAGGAGAACATGAGTGTATGGTGAACACGAGTCACAGCTTGTGACATGAATAGAAGAAGCACTTGTCTGTCATTAAAGTCATGAAACCTTTTGCATGAAACGGTTGCAGTGTATATACATATGTGCCACAGGGGATACACAGTGAGTTAGCAAGAACAGACTTTTGACATCTAAATGGGATAGCGTTAACGTGTCTAAAGTTAACGGCATTGTGCTTCAGAACAGCGTCGAGATAAGACCTATAGCACATGCATTGCTTCAGAGCAATGATGATTGTGCTTGTAGTGTGAGCTATCCACTTCTATTATCATGATATATGTACCTGTGTGATTCCAGAAGCTATAGTCAAACATTGCTTAAGTAACATTTACGACTGCTACATATGTACTATATGTCATCGAACAGTAGCATGCATTTTCTCAAGATAAAACTGACTTCTGTGCTATACCATGAGTTCCAACATGGCGTCTGACTATGAGCTGCCTTTTATATGTATACAACTACTCAATTACGGGTAGTTGTCTTCTTTCTCTTTCTTAACTACTCAATTGACTCAAAGGTGTCATTCAGCATGCCAAACGTGTCAAAGGTGTCACTCGGCGCTTGGCTCGAAGCAAAAAATGTGGCATAGGCTGCTACTCTCTGATGGCTTCGCATGAAAACAATTGCCTACAGTGTGTGTGGTCTGCCGCTATTTTCGTATTAATGCCTCCTGTTCAAATCGATATCACTCTTATAATCCACCATTTCCAACTGGATGATTTCATTGGCAACCGTGGGTAACCATTGGCAACCGTGGCTTCTCATATCTACGATCACCTTGAATCGCACAACTTCTTCTTCTCCCATCAGCATGGCTTTAGAAAAGGCTACTCATGTGACACCCAGTTATTCGAATTCACGACTGACCTTCACTTTAATATGAACGCTAACGAACAAACTGATTGCCTCTTCCTTGATTTCGCCAAGGCATTCGATACTGTCTCTCATTGTCGTTTAATCTCTAAATTGGCCGCACTCCGTATTGATTCATTAATCCTGTCTTGGCTACGAAGCTTCCTGTCTTCACGTCAGCAGCTTACGGTGATCAACGACATTTCATCTAACCTTTGCGACGTCACATCCGGTGTTCCCCAAGGCAGTGTAATAGGTCCGTTACTTTTTCTAATATACATTAATGATTTGCCCGAAAACCTTTCATCCACAGTTAGGCTGTTCGCTGACGATTGCGCCATATACCGCTACATTAAATGTTTTAATGATCATTCCGCTCTCCAAAATGACCTTGACCTAACCTTCCGGTGGTGCGAAACTTGGCAGATGTCCCTTAACGCCTCTAAATGCAAGTTAATCTCGTTCACTCGAAAGCATAACAATTCAGCATTTCACTATAAGATTAATAATGCCGTTGTGTCAGCTACACCATCTTACAAATATTTAGGCGTTCACCTTACATCGGATCTATCCTGGACTACGCATATAGCAGCTGTCTCATCGAAAGCATCTCAATCTCTCGGATATCTCCGCAGAAACTTGCGCAACGCTCCTTCTAACGTACGCGCATTATCATATATTACTTATGTTCGCCCACAGCTAGAGTATGCATCATCCACATGGTCACCATATCAAGATTACTTGGTACGTATGTTGGAAGCCGTCCAGAATAGGGCAGCGAGATTCATCTCCGGAAACTACGACTATCATTCAAGTATTACCCTAATAAAACAAGACCTTGCATTTCAGTCACTAGAAATACGCCGCAACATTGCTCTTTTATGTCTGTTTCATAGGTACATTTATAGTAACGAAATTCACTGTTTGCCACTTTATTCTCCTGCGCGCACTTCCCAGCGCATTCACAATGCCCGTAGTTTTATGCGCATTCATGGTCACACGCAGGCATTTAACTTATCATCACTACCTCGAGCCATTGCATATTGGAACGGTCTTCCGGATCATGTTGTATCCATTTGTAACCGTGAAATCTTTCGTGACAACCTGGTTTCGTTGCACTCTAGCATTGTATAACGCTGTTGCACCTTGATTTTTGATTTTTGTAATCTTTTATATATGTATATATTTTTTCATCTGCTTTTCTCCTTTATTGTTATTTCGTCTGTATACTGATGCCCCCCTTACTCAATGCCCTTCAGTGGGCCTGTAAGGTATTTTGAATAAATAAATAAAGCGTCACCCTGACACAGCATATTGTAAAATACCATTGAAATAGGCATTGTTATAAAATCATGAAGATGTTTTTTAAGAACTTCAATTCCAGTTATTGGTACTGTACAGTGCCTGTCCAAATGTGAAATAATATAAGAAAAATGCACTCAAAACTTTTTATATTTAGTGTAATTGACTGACCCAAGTGATTGACCCAACTCATTGGCTCAGTGGCTACAGTTTCCTGCCACTCAATGTTTTAATTACTGTGGCAGCATTCTAATGGGAGCAAAATAAAAAAGCATACATACTGTGCTCTATGTGTATGTTAAGTAACCTTATGTATTTGGAATTATTTTGTAGCCCCCCTCTACTGCATCTCTCGTAACAGCTTTGTTGCTTTAACTTCATAGTTTCATGTGAAAGGGAAACATTTTGCAGCATAGATTGGGGATTTTTGTAGTTTACTGACTGTTTTTTGGGTCAATGCCAGGAGTCTCAAACTTACCTCATCTAACGGGCTATAGTCATGAAATTTTGTGCCACAAGGGCCATTTCAGTGCAAAAGGTTTACGTAATGAAGGCAGCTTGAACAAGATGTCAGCTAACATTGCTATTTCAAAGAATGGCTTTATAAAATCTTATATTGATCATTTTGGTAGCGGATTTGGTGTCATGATTTGAGAAACATATCTATACCAATCTCCAGAATGACTAGAATCTGATTGTTGATTCTAAGAATGAGTTTTTGTTCCACGGTTATTTTTCATAACATGGTGACCAGATGAGATGCTTCACTAAAAAAGTGTTGTAGATCAGTCATGTCTGTGTAGCTAATGAATGTACTTATAAAAAAATATAAAAAATAGACGAAGACATTCATGTGCGAGCCAGGGGCCACTAATGAAAGCGGCACGCAAGCTGCATTTTTGAGACCTCTGGTCAATGCCTGTACATATTTTTAGAAGTTCTGTTGTATAATACAATGTCCTCGTCCCTGAGTAACTTGGTCCTCATTATTACTTTGGTACCTTGTCAGTTTGTTTTTATATGGGCTAGCTCTGTCCCAACACAAAGCATACTTTCAGCTTCAAGAATCTATTCCTTCATTTATTGGCTATGGTGTACGTGAGCCAAAGCAGAAGTGCTTCACTGAAACTTGTTTCTTTTACCACCAGGTGCTAGTGGATGATGACCTGTACTTGGACATTGATCCAAGCAAAGCTGTTGTGCGATTCCCGGCTGACGAGAGGCTTCGTCACTTTGGTGCCAAGGATTCTCCCGACTATGCACGCCGTTTAGGGGCCTATCGAGCTTGGACAATTGATCGGCTGGCCCGGCTTGCTCAGGTGAGTGAGAACAAAGGGGCACATCAGTTTAGCTCGACCTGAGATGCGACACGTGTTAAAGAAGCCCCTAAACAACCTCCAATATTTCTTCAACCGTTTTAAGTAAGCATGCACATTGTGTTCAGAATTACGTCACATTGAGCAGTGTCGTATGTGGCAGTGCTACAAGTCGTGAGCGCGCTACCAATTCCAAGGAACAATTCCTTTTCCCTTCTGGGCCTTTCCAGCTTCCCCGATGACGTGGGCGACATCAAAATGTTTCATATGCGATATTGTCAACAAGCAATGCTGCAATTGGTCGAACAAGAACTCATGCCTTTCAGTTAGTCTGCAAGTAGCTGCCTGAGCTTCTTGCTATTCATCGCTGTGCTGCCCAGTGTGCGTGCTAGTGAATTGGCAACTCTAGCCTGTAACACAAGTGCTAAATCTTGAGACTACCAACACAGTTATGCCTAGCGATCCGATAAGCTGCACAATTTGAATCGACAACAGCAAGTAGCTGAGGAGCGTGCAGTTGACGGAGTCGCGGTAACCGCAAGTGGACGCTGTTTTGAAAAGTGCATCGGCGATGATGCGTGCCACATAAGACTGGGAGGGGCACTTGCGAGGAGGGCAAAGTGGCATTAAGAGAGGAGACCAGCTGACAAACGGAGGGTAGCGAAGGAAAGGGCAAAATGGTTAAGAGCTGCATTTTGATCATCAAATGCGTCTAGCTCCGCTATTACAGCACCATCCTGAAAAATTCTCACAGCTATATGTTCGTTGTATACTCATGCACAACTAAAACAGCAAACCTAAATTTCGACCTCTGGATGGTTTAGGGGCCCTTTAAAATAGTTATTACTTTGTACACTGGTTATTTGTTTAATTGAATAAATAAATGGGTGGCTCAAGTGTGGTTTAAAGAGTACCCAAATTTTTAGCTAATGCAAAAAAGAATGCATTACATTTTGAAAACTTTAAAATATTTTTTAAAATGTGTGGCTCCTTCAACTCCTGAGGTGCAAGCCTTCATGGTTATAAGCCTTGGCTGGTATAGATAATCTAATGATTATATTCACTCGATTATTTTTTTTAACCACGTTCATTCTGGTAACCGCCCAGACCGCTGAAAAAGCCTAAAATGAAAAATAATTGTAACATGTCTGTGAAATATGAATGTTCTTGATCAGTGGTCCTTAATCACATTTGTGCTGTTGGGACTCTTGTTAGCCACCTGTTGTGGCATTTCAGTTTCCATTGCACTCTGTCACTGAGTGTAAAGCGGTCACTGGTGCCATACTTTGATGGGTGTGGAATGCAAGCAGACGTACACGTATCTTGCCTTTTCTGTGGATGGTCACTAATAGAGACACGATTTTAGACAAATTCCTATTTTGTTTCTTGTAGTTCTGTCGCCCCACTTTGATATATCAGCGTGAATTCACGGTTAAGAAGGGCTTTTGTAATGTCTCTATAGTGTCTCTAAATGTTTATTTTGAAAATCTGTGCCTATATGAACCCTATTTCGCATCAAGTTTCGCTTTCAGGTGCACTTTGAGAACATTGTTCATGATACTAGGTGCATTGACTGTTTGTAACTCTATAGGGTTCAACTTAGTTTTTTAGTACAACCACTTCCTGGAAAACAACCCCTAGCAGCAGTGAAATTGAACGCACGGGCCAGGACATGCTGCCACACTGACAAGGTGTGAGTGGTTGGTGAATGCATAACTGCAGAGAGCCAGCAGGACGAAGGAGATAGAAGAACGAAAGAAGAAAGAAAAATGTGATGAGCGCGGGGCTTTCGTTTTGTTTGTAAGGGTACAAATTGGCTCTGCGCAATTCGAGCTGGCCAGTAGGAGGCAGCCCTCTTGTCTAGTCTATTAGTGGTCTGGCTGTCTGCTTCTGCCCTGCCAATCTGGGTCATTCTGAAAAGACACCAAGGAGTGTGTTGATGTGCCAGTGGACACTTGACACGCCATGCTACGGAATAAACAGAGAGACTGTGCTCTGCAAATCATGTGGGACAAAGGACAACAGCATGGCTATGTTCAGCTGTTGGCACCTTTTTGTCATCGACAACAGTAATTTTTTTTTTTTCCTATCGTAAGTGCAGGTTGAGCACAATCTTCGTTTTCAGTTATTTGTATATATTAAAAAATCTATTTTGCCTATATGTACAATGTTGGAGGCCTAGAACATTCTCTTTCAATGCCTAATGATCAAGCCTCTAGTCATTAGGCTCTGTAGTTGAAAACTGCTGATTGTGTTTTGATGTGGTGGATGCACAATCCTTAATGCTTCAAGTAAACGCTAATTGCAGGTGAGTGCTTTGTTTGCAAAAGAGCAGTAACCTTGCAGGCTAAAAATTGAATTGTATTTAGTCAGAAATGTTTTGGATGGGTTCCAGGTCAGAAGCTGTGATTTTAAAGGGCCACTCACCAGGTTTGACAGTTTTGAGCTGACAAGCGCAATGCGTACATGGGGCATTCACAATCACGTCTACCGAAATTTGCAACGCTGCGCGCCGAGCAAATTGGTCAAATTTCAAGATCAACGCTGCCCTCCCTTCCTTTCGCGGGCATGTACACACAGAATAAAAGCATGACGTACCTGGTCCTGTACGTAGACAACTGTGTTCTGACATTGCCAAGAGTAGCACGTGGCATGAAGAAAATTATTTATTGTGACATGTATAGTTTATGTAATTTGTTGCTAGAATAGATAAATAATTAGACACAATAACGGAATGTGCACATATTTTTTATTCCCCCCCCTTGTGAATTGAAACGAGATGCGGGGCTAATGTGCTTGCGTTTGGCATGCGTTCACGTCCCCGCGGTAAGCGCATTAAGCAGACCCCTGTCCTGGAAAAGAAATTAATGGTCCTGTGCGTTCGAATACTCATTATGCTCATCTATTCTACCGTGTCTAAGCCAACGTTTCTAAATCATCACGCAGAAACAGGCAGTAGGCCCTAAAATAGCGCTGATCAACAAAACAACGCTGCTCGCGTGCACGGGGGTTGGGCTTGTTCGGGCACGTCATGTGCACGTGACCTCTTGGTTAGATGCCGGAGAGGGTAGGGAAAAGATTTGGCTTGCGGAGGCTACGCAGGGGAGCGGGAAGGGTTTCGAGCTCGCCTCCTCTCATCCTTGTTTTACACCGCTTCAGCAAAACAGTTTTCTCAGCTCGTAATGGACTGATTGAAAACATTTTTTGTGCCATAATGCTCTTCATTGACTCACAACAACTTTCACGGTCTAACTAAAATTTGTTATGGGCCCTGCTGAGTGACCCTTTAAAAGACTCCTTGCCCACCAGGTTTGTACAACAGTAACATACAAGCACATGGCATAGATCTTTTGGTGGCATATGTGTCTTTAAAGTGTGTGGTGTGACAACAATAAGATTTAAAGCATGCTTTTTTCTTACTTTCCCAAATCTTGGCTCCATCAAACCATCGAATGTGCAGTCTATCAAAGCTAGTTCTGTTTAATGCAGAACTATCTTTATCGGACAAGATTTCGGGATGAATATACAAGGGTTGTTTAATAAAGACTGAGGCAGTGTCTGGGGCTCTTTACTCTTATTTCATTTAGTCATCTCAATGCAAAATTTGTTAAGGGAGCGCTGACATCAAATTTCAAGATCGAGATGTGCCCATCATTCGACTGGTGGTATGCATAGGCCTTCTTGGCCAAATGTGAACGGCACCATCGCGTTGAAGTTATTTTAATTCAATGTCAAACAGTGTAGAAAAGCTAAGGAGAAAAAACGGAAAATAGACTGCCCTGCGACATCGACACTAGTTCTGCGTGTTCGGTATGATACATTTCACAAATACCATCCTGAGTGACGATGCCCTAGTAGCGATCACGAGTACGATCCGGGTGTTCTTATTGTGGCGCCAACTGGCGCCAAAGCGCAAAAATGCACTCGCTCGTCACGTCTTATCTTCGTCGCATCGGTTTGAATGATTTCGTGAAATTATGAAAATAAAAACTACCTTTAGAAGAACCGCGAAATAAAAGGGCATGATTAAATGTGTGCTTGTCGGTCAGCTTGTCGGGGAATCGTTGTGAGTTGCAGGTCAGTTGCAGTCGTCTAGTTCGAAGCATGAAAAAGCGCAATGAGGGTGTCTTTTCATATCATGTATGTGTTACACATCAACACGACCACGAGCTATCAAAAGTGGAACATCGTATAGTCAGATATCATTGCTAACAAGTAACATGCAGGTATCGTTGAATTTTAGTTCATCTGTAGAATTCGCATCCACGTAAAAGTGTTAATACTGTGTTTACCGCAAGAGGCTGGATAGGTGGGGCTATCTAGAGACACAAAAAAGAACCTGGCAAGCAGGAAACATATTCTATTTCTCCGTTGATGCTCATTCGCGATAGCTATATTGCATTGACCCCTCTGCATATACTTAAATGCTTTGCACACCAAAACACACCAATATAGCTAACTGAGACACACGAGCGAACATGGCTGAAGTGTGCATCCTCGGGCACCTCTGCAGTGCTGCTTGGAACGGTGTCCATTTTTGAATCACTGTTCTGCAAAAGGTCGATCGAAGCAAAAATAATTCCCGACGTCGCGAATCGCGGGGATTCCAAGCTCAGACTATTGTATAGAACCCGAGTCGACTCTTTGTATGGCGACGACAGCAATGCAAATGACTAGGCATGACTTAATGTGTCCGCCTAGCAAATGAAATGCTTGCGGAGCAGCTGAGCCTGACGTCACTCTTTTCTGTGGAGAAGTGGTCAGCTATGACAGGATCTGGAGGTGACCGCGAGGTAGCGCCACTGCTGGTGCTCCCAGTGCTAAAAATGGGGGATTGCCGGCCGTTTTGAATAGTGCTAGAGACCAGTGATATAAATCAATAAAAGTGATAGTTATTCATCCCTCAGTTGCGTTCTAGGTCACGAATCGCTGCTACGGGGTCCATAGCTACTCGCTGATGCAAAAATCTTGGCATGAGTAAATTTGATGTCAGTGCTCCTTTAAAGTTCCCACCATATGTCATATCATTTTTGCTCCAATGCAGCGGCAACAATATGGATCTAAAAATGAGCTTGTGTCTTGTATAGTCACCAAGATTTAGTCAGTAAAGGCTTGAGTAAATAAATTGGCAGACAAAGCAATGGCGATCACATTTTTCAACCATGAGGAAATGTTCTACCTCCATTCAGGTCCCACGGACGAGGTGATAAATGCCGCATACTAGAGAATTTTAATGAGAACTAGCAGACAATAGTGCAAGGAAAAGCACAGGAGAAGTTATTAGAAGTAATTGTAGGGTAAATGTAAAGAAAGAAAACTGGACGAATAGATATCTTGCCACCTGTAGCATTCGAACTTGCGACCTTCGAATAACGTGTCCGATGCTCTACCACTGAGCTACCGTGGCGATCATCCCCCTGTCCACTTTATGATATATATGAGGCCCCCTTTTTTTCACCCCCAAAAAGAGCCAAATGCAGTCACCTAAATTAGGCTAAATTTCACTGGAACGTAAAGCATGCTAAGTATATTCAGCTTCTAGAACAATTCTAATAAAAATGGGGCAATTCCTTATTGTAACACGAACCCAAAAAGGCAGTTTCTAATAAAAAATGAGTCAAATACTCCAACTGTTTCAATAAAACTGAGCCACATTCATTAAATCAGCACTGCGCCAACAATCGTGACCAAAGCAACCAACATGGTCTCGCCAAAAATGTTTCATGTGTGTCATAGATGCTTTGCTATCATGTTTACGTTTGACCATTCGGTTTTCTACGGCGAGTTGGCACTTGCTGATGGGCATGATGTTCAGTGATGAAACTCGATTACAAAGAGCTAGAGGCTGACTTTCCTACTTCTTTATGCCTAATTAAAGTTCTTTTTGAGTTTAGTGCTACAGTATCATGTCTTCTATTCGCTCCAACACTGTATATTTGAAATGAAATACACACGAGATGAAGATATTGAGCCCATTATCTATTGCCTGAAGAAGTGCTCTGAAACTGCATGGCATAAAACAAACTGGAGCACTTTTCAAGGCCTTCAATAGATGCGAAGAACAAGAAAACATTGCTGACAGTCCAGAATAGTGCGCCTTTTGCCAGGAAAGACCCCTCGCTCTTCAGGTCTAGTAATCGCCATTACGCCCATGCGACGAAGCACGGCACCAACAGAACCACAAGTATGATGTTGATTCTATTACAAAATATTGCTATACCATACATTCGAATCATTTTACACTTATTTTACGAGCTAATGCATGCCCAAATGAAATATTATAATCTATATGAGCCAATTACAAACTTTACTTCTGAGTCTCAATACTGATGAATTGGGCTATGTAGATTTTAGCCACATTATAGATTTGTGCTATTTAGGAGAGAGGAACATAATGGAAAACAGTTGTTTAGTCGGGCCCAACCATATTGTCACGGGGTTGAGATGTAGACGAATGGTGCACACTGCAAGTGGAATAATAAACTGTTTATTTTGGCGAACCTGTGCCCAGTATATGGAAAGTTGGACTACACTAGCAGTCTTGCACTCATAGTGATGAACGAAGCGTCAGCCGTGGATCAACTGACAAGCAGCGAAGCGTGTTGGCATTTATACTCTTGCTATAGAATATTCTAGCGTTATCGCTAGCGGCGACGTAGCTTTCAGAATAATCTGTAATGTTCACCAAGTTAGGGTAATCTTAACAAAATGACCTTCTACAGCCTCGAAGCTTCTCAAACAACGTAGGCGCGGGTTGCGCTGAACATAGTGTAGGGGGGCGATAACAAAGCTTGAGGAAAGGAATGTGGCAATATTGTGAGTAGAAAAAAGTGAGGTTTTTCAGTTTCAGTTAAAGCGCATTTGGCTCTTTTAGAAAAAAAAAATCTCGTATATCTGCATTTGAATGTGTGAGCATCAATCAGTATCACTTGTTGCCATTATGGCGAGTGGGAAACACTTTTTTTTTTGCCTATTTGCCGTCACATAGGATGTGATCTTATTACGAGATGGCAGCTGACCAATAATCCCTTGTATGCCTACTTACTTTCTCAAGGCATCAAGTCTGCCAGAACAAGACCCATGCTACAAATGAAGGAAAGTGTAAACTTAAGGGCTCGTTTACTTTGTTAGACATAATATTAATGAGATATAACAGACAATAATGCCAGGGAATGTATATGGGATGTTATTAGAAGTTATTTATTTATTTATTTATTAGTATACCCTCAAGACCCACAGGGGGTTACAGAGCGGGTGGGCACAATATGGAAGCGGAATAAGTTATAATAACAGCATTGAACGGAATACAACAAATCACAATAGTGAAAAAATAGAAAAAAGACGAGCAGGCAAAGAACAGCAGCCTACAGTCACACCATATAGTGTTTTGAAACTGTTGACTTGAACAGCCCTTGATTGAAAAGTGGACAAAAAGATAAAGAAAACAACCCCTATTACGCTTTCCTGCATACTAGGGAATTGTTTTATAGGTGGTCATATGAGAGCACATCTCTTGAAAAAGGTTTGAACTTGTGGGGAGTTAGAAACTTCTCCATGATAATGTAAGGGCTGAGGTTGCGATCATTGTAGTCCAGTTTTTCGCTAGGAAAAAATCTCAACAGTTTCTCAGCTGCCCTGTAGCTACTCTGTAGGGAACCAAGTAAGGACCTGACCCCCTACAACCTATTTTTGTATGACATGTCAAAAATGGGATGGAAGGGACATCATTTTGATAAGGCCCAGAAAGCAGTAAAATTTTTAAAAGGGAAACCGTTCACTTAGAAGAAAAAAATTCACACTGGACGTAGAGAGAGATGAAGACGAGCGCTACTACAGACAAGCTTTGCAGGGAAATTTCTATTGGACGATGAGAAATGTCTTTATACTTGCTCAAAAATGTCTTTAGAGACATTAGACTCATTACAAAGTGTTTTTACCCGTCAAGCATGAGATGTGGTGGTTCAGGACCCCTTTCATATCATTGCTGTCATACATGCCAGCAATGAACTTGGTGGCGTCTTGAACAATTACAGCCTTTTGGTTGCAGCATCCTTTCACCACCAATTTTTTCTCTCTTTCCATTTGTGTACTTTCTCTTCTTTTCTTTTTTTTTTCTACAGGATAAAGCGTCATTTATTGTTAAACATCAATTCCTTTCCATTAAAAAAAATGCTTGTACTCATACCGAAAAGGGGATGCTGGCCTTAGAAATTGCTTTGTTTTCCTGTCAATTTTCCCGAAACTATGAACCATTATTCAACTTTTGACTAGTTTCAAATATGCAGTGGCTTTCTGTGTTGACAAATGATCAACATCGAACCCACTCTGAGCTGTTTACTTTGGTGTCATTTTTTGAAGATTACAAAGCTATGAAAACAATAGTTATTTGTAGCTTTATCTTGATATGCTTATTAGGTAAAGAAATTAATAAATGCCACCTTTGTAATATCGGGTTTGTACTGTCATATGCTTGAATATTTTTCATGTAATCTTCCTTTTTCATGATGCCATGGTAGATGCGCTTTTGCCCTAGCAGTAAGGTCGCGAAATGCCTCCTAATGTCTGAAGGCTTTTCCTCTGGCTCTACCAGTTGTCTCTTCCCTAGCAAAACAGCAGCGGGCAGCACAGAAAAATGAAAAGAGGCAAATTCCCTTACTTCTCCTTCACACTTCACTTAGTCGCGTCATCTGTTGGAGTGCATAAAAATTGATTTCATCAAAGCAAGCTGGGCAATTTCGTAACTTGACATGTTCGGCTAAATGTGGAGTGCGGCATAGGCAAAGGACAAAGAAACAGACAAAATGAGCATTGTGTCTATTTCTGGTCCTTCGTTTTCCTCATGTTGTGCATTTGTCTCGACTAGTTTCCATCATTGGTTACCTCCATGCAAACAGTTTTAGGTCGACTCTAGCCCGGGCCAATTCGGTAAATGTTTTAGGTAATTTGTGAAAGTGCAGCATGTGAAATGTGCAGTGTAGCACAGTTTCATGCACAGATCAGCAATTACGCAATTTTCGTCAATTTCGCTGTGGCCTCAGTACTGTTTTCAGAGAGTCGCTTTGCAGAATGATCAGGACTGTTGCTGAACAAATGTGGTGAACTGTTTAAAGTTGGAATATTGCGTTCATTTTTTTACTTTTGTTTTTAATGAAGTATTTTATGTGTATTGTGGTGCAGGGCTTTGTGGATGGCCTGCGTAGCTCATGGCCGTGGCTCCCAGCACCGTTGGCATGGCTGGTGCGCCGTTTGCATGCGACACTTACGCATAATGGAGCTAGTGAGGACCCTCGTGCTGGAGTGGTTTGTGCCGACCTTGTCTTCGCCTTTTTCATCTGCCCTGCTGTGGTCAGTCCCGAGCTGCACGGCCTTGTTGACATACACATAACACCAATTGCACGATTCAACCTCATGCAGGTAAGGACAAGCGATTTTTTTTGGTTAGGTGGTTGTGATAATGAGAGACACATAAATGCTTTCAACATGTGCATTTTTTTGTCTGTGTGAAGGAAATAAGTGTAAATTTTAGGGCTCGTTTTTCTTTGTTAGACACAATATTAATGGGAACTAACAGACAATGATGCTGGAGGAAAGTATGGGGGATGTTATTAGAAGTACAGTCGAATCTAGATAATTCGAACTTGAAGGGACCAAAAATTTGTTCGAATGAAAAGAAGTTTGAAATAATGAAAGCTAAATAAACGGAGGGCTCTCCATGCAGTGGCGCATGTGCATTGAGCTAACACATGAGGGGGAACTTTCAGAAGACTTACATTTATTCACAAATCACAGGACATCTGTTATTAATTGAAGTAATCGGTGATGCTTGTCTGCACATTTTTGCCTTGCAGCGAGTCGATCAGTTTCGCACGCAGCTTGCAAACATTTCTACTTCGACTTTAGCATTCTACTGGCAAGAGAAGTTGCGCACGGAAATGTCCAGCGCCGACACTTTCTAAAGACGACGACAACGACTGCGCAGCGGAGCCTCTCACGCAGACGCAGCATGGCCAGCACATGACGAGAAAGGAAGAGCGTCTCCACACGGAGAGAAGATCGGCAATCGAGAGAAAACCAACACTCCACGGCAGCTTTTTTTTTGCTCTCTTCGCGTGTAGCAGGGACGGGAAAGGAGAAAGCGTGGAACCGGCGCGTGAGAGAACCCCCCCCTTCAAGGCACAAAGCCGTGCTCCGGCAAGGGTAAAGGGCTGCAGAAGATAGTAGTGCCTTTTTCTTTTCATTCAACCACACATTCATCAACCCTGCGACAGCTTTCTTTTTTTCCTCTCTTTGTTCGCGCGCTGCGTTGGAAGGAGAAGGGTCTTTACGTGGCAGGGACGGAAAAGGGAGAAGCGTGACAAGGGCGCATTGCAGATCGGCATTTGAGAAAGAGCAAACATTCCACCGCAGCTTTTTCTTTCCTTTTCATTTCCTTCGTGGGCAACATTGAGGTGTCGCAAGTGCTGCCGCGGGATCGGTGGAGTGCTGAGAGCATTTTCGGAGCGCGGTATCTTCGAATCAACCGTCGCAAGTGCTTGCGCGTTCGAATTACCGGGCATTTTTGCCCATTGGAATACACATAGCTTTGGCGGGACCTCATCGTGAGTTCGAATTAACAGAAGTTTGAATTAAGCATGTTTGAATTAATGAGATTCGACTGTAGTTCTGATGGAAGTGGGAAGGAAGAAAAGTGGACGAATAGATATGCCACCATCAGGGACTGAACCGGCAACCTTTGAATAACGCATCCGGTGCTCTATCGCTGATCTACGGTGGCGGTCATCCCTCAGTCCACTTTACAGGGTACATATATATGTACATTTAAACATAGGAGCGTCAGTCAGTGCAGCAAGTAGCCACTACGGTGAGTGTGAAACATCCTTCTTTTTTTTGACATCACGTAGCACATGATTTTATTATGAGCTAGCAGATGATGAATAATCCCTCGATACTACCTGAAGGAATCAATCAAGTCTACCAGAACGAGACCCTCGTGTGTGTTTTTTAAGCGTATAACCTTCATTTCTTTATAAAATGACAGCTTTTGTGCTGTCACTTCTGTGTTGTTAACACAAGTGCATCTAAAGATCAACCAAGGGATTATTGCAAAGCTTCAGGAACTTTCATGCACACAAATTATTGCCTACATGGGCATTTATCAAGCATCATATCTCCTTGCATTGTGATTTTTTTCTGGTTTTTAAGCTGCAGTTTAAAACTCGATGCAAGGACAAAATGAAAGAATCTGTTTCATGAAACTTTTGCTGGCACAGTTGTTATGTATTGATCTGCCATCGTAATGAGTCATGGCAGTGCAGATCATGATCGACGCAGCTCCCAAAACCAGCTCACTCGCTTCAAAGCTCACACAAAGAGTGAATTCAATCTTTTAAAGAAAAACACTCACAAAGAAATGAAGACAAGAATAAAAGGAAAGGTTCCCGCTACACTTGTGAGATTACTCATGATATTTGCTGTTTTTTTTTTACCGTTAGCCGCACTTGATCATATACGGTCGAATCTCATTAATTTGAACACACTTAATTCTAATTTCTAGTTAATTCAAACTCAAGATGAGGTCCCGTCAAAGCTATGTGTATTCCAATGGGCGAAAACGCCGGGCAGCAATTCGAACGCACAAGCACTTGCGATGGTTAATTCAAACATACCGCACCGAAAATGCTTTCAGCACCCCGCCCAATCCTGCGGCGGCACCTGCGACACCTCAACGCTGCGAGCGAAAGAAATGAAAAGGAAAGAAAAGGCTGCAATAGAATGCTCTCTCTCAAATGTCAATCTGCGATGCACCCGTGTCGCGCTTCTCCCTTTTCTGTCCCTGCCACGTAAAGACCATTCTCCTTCCAACGCTGCGTGCGATGAGAAAGAGAAAAAAAAAAAAAAAGAAAGCTGTCGCTGGGTTGAATGAATATGTGGTTGAAGGAAAGGAAAAAGGCACTATCTTCTGTAGCTCTTGCCGCTTGCGGAAGCACGGCTCTGTGCCTTGAGGCGGGGAGGGTCTCTCACACGCCAGTGCCACGCTTCCCCCTTTCCCGTCCCTTCCACGTAACCCTTCTCCTTTCAATAGAGTGCACAAAGAGAGCAAAAAAAAAAGTGCCATAGAGTGTTGGTTTTCTCTCAAATGCCGATCTGCTTCTCTCTGCTTGAAGACGTTCCTTCTTTCTCGTCACGCGCTGGCCTTGCCGCGGCTGCGTAGAGGTGATACGCAGTCGTTGTCGTCGTCTTTAGAGAGTATCGGCACTGGACATTTCCACGCGCTACTTCTCTTGCTAGGAGAATGCTGAAGCCGAAGTAGAAATGCTTCGCAAGCTGCGTGCGAAATTGCTCGACTCGCTGCAAGGCAAACGTGTGCAGAAGCGCATCACCGATTACTTCAATTAATAACGGATGTCCTGTGATTTGTGAATAAATCTAAGCCTTCTGAAACTTCCCCCTCGTGTGTTAGCTCAATGCACATGCGCCACTGCATGGAGAGCCCTTCGTTTATTTAGCTTTCATTAATTCAAACTTTTTTCATTTTGAACAAATTTTCGGGTCCTTTCGAGTTCGAACTATCAAAATTCGACTGTAGTTTTATTGTGCTTTGGTTTAGTTTGCTTGAAATGTTTATTCACAACCTACCGTGTGCATGTCTACAGGTAGCCCAAATCATCCAAGTGCTGGCATTGGCGCGCTGGGAGCGTCCAGATCCGCGCTTGTCGGACCTTTATGACCGTTTCCCAAGGGAGTGTATCTCATCCTTGTTGGACTCCCTGCTTTTGGGGGATGGGGTTGTCGGAAACCAGGGTTCCCAGGCAGTTGCCTCTGTGCCTACCACAGCTCCTCAGCTGGAAGAACTGGCACGTGCAGCATTCCTTGCATCAGAGGCACAACTAGCCACACTGGTGAGCAGTCCTGGTTCTTTATTTTGTGCTATTTTTTTCTGAATACAGATGTATTACTTTTTGATGAGTTGTTAATGAGTAAAACAGTATGTTCAAGGTATTCGTCAAAGTTCAAAACTTCCTTACAGAAATTAAATAGCCTAAATTACCAAGGAGCAATAGCATGTTCATGATAATTTAAAGTATGCTTAAGTTGCAGGTTGGAGCTTTGGCTTTCTCTGGTGGCAAGCTGTTGTTTTTCATCTAGTTTCATTTCTATTCATCATGTCATTGCTACACTTTAGTGAAGAACTACTAATATTGTTCCCTATGCTTTTCTTGGCTTCGCTATGGGTTGGCTTTATGTGGTTGTGTCTTGAAAAAACAGGCCCATTTCTCGATTCACCTCCTTGTTCAGTAACTTGCTGTTTGTAGTGGGCTCTTGAGATAGATGGGACAACATGGACTGGATGCAAGCAGCCATTTCAAGTGAGCGGTATTTTATTTATTTCAAAAAGACAAGTATGAAAACACTGTATGTCTGGCTAATACTAGAATGTCTATTCATCCACCTTGTTTACCAGAAATCATGGGAAAAAAAAGTGTGAAGTTTGGGCTGTATAGCTGTGACACACCAGAATGCAAAAAAAGAAAAGAAAATAAGTTGGGGAACTTATGACTCAGAATGACTAAGTAAGTTTTAAAGGGCCAGTAAATAGCCCTGAGGTCCAAAAATTAAAAAAAAAAAGAGATATATGTGCAGTCTTTTTTTGTAAACATGTGCCGCAAGAATTTTGCGAATACGTGCTATATTAAGGAAGTTACAGGGGTTAGAACATCGGTCTAAGTTGGTTTTAAATTTTCGCGCGGCCTTGCCTTTCTCCCTTCCATGAAGGGGAAGGCGTAGCCCATCGTCGTGTCTCTGCCCACTTCAGCAACGTGACACCACGTCAGCGATTGATGTCATCGGCGAACTCGATCAGTCGCAACGCATTTCGCTTGCTGCGAAGTGTGGTTGTTTGTTTGCCGCACCAGCCGTGGATCAACCGTGTAAGCGTCATTTGCGAAGTGTCGACCACAAACGATCAGGTCCTCGGCGTACGTTGCTGGATGGCCGATCCACTTCAGCCATGCAGCGCCAAGGGCCCCATAGTGAGGCATCCGGTGCCGATGCTTCTCCGCTGCCCAGTGGCTCGATTGCAGCCGACGACAGAGCAACGCTTTTTACCCATGTTGCTCATGTCAAGGGCGAAGTACGTTCGTACGTGCACACAGGCGCTGTATAGTTGAGCGAGGAGTGTACACATGCACACGACAACTGCGAGGCTGGTTCTTTCACCGCAGTGCCAAGAAACAAGGGGCAGTTTTGTAGCTGTGGGTGGGAACAGGAACTGATGTTGACTTCACTACTGATTTTCACTACTTGACTTCACTACTGATTTTCACACCTGATTTAGATCAATCGGCGAGCTGCTTCGGCGAGCTGCGTGCTATGTCTAGTCGCCGATCGCCGAGTTGACATCACTGTACGTGCAAGGGGGTCGATCAGGCGTAGGAAAGATGCACGGGAATTGTTTTTCGAAATAGAGGCTCTGCGCGGTGCGCAGCGCTGTAATATTCAGGAAACGTGATCGCTGTGGTCGAATCTATGAATTTCCGAGCTTATATGGGGGTGTAAAAAAAAAAAAAGTCGGAGCCTGTTTACTGGCCCTTTAAAAAGAATGCCTGATACAGGTATGTTTTTATGATTGAATTATAATGAACATAGTAATAATACACTCCAAAGCATGGCCAGAACAATCGCATAGAGTATACATTGTTGAAATAAATGTTTACTTGGTGTGGTGGTTTCCTTTGTGTAAGAGAAGGTCATCTGTAATTTATTACGTGCATAAATATATACACTATGTTGTTTAAAAAGTGATTTGGCTAGCCTGTCTGCAAGGTCTGGATATTTACTCATTTTAGAACCATAAAAACCTTCATGCTTGACTTGCAGCTGAAGGTTTTTTTTTTATTCTGCCATACACATGCCTGAGGTGCCCAGGAATGACACGATGCACTTCTGTTGTCACTGTTCTGAGCATGCAAAATGTCTTTTTTTTAAATGACTTTTCTGATGTCGAATTCCAGTGGCGGAGTCGGATCAAGTTTTTCTGCTCCTTTTGGAGCAAGTGTGTTCTAATGACAGAGTGAGGGCGGGAGTGAAGTGTTCAAATGAGAGAGTCAGAGTGGACTCAGAGAGCATGACTTTGAGGCGCAGGAAAAGTTGCTCCACTGAAATCGGCGGAGTGGATCGGAACTGGGCGTGCCATACTTCCATGACGGTGACGAGACAGGGTGTTTGACCACTGTGTGAATGACCCCTAATCGCCCGCTTGGGGGTGCTGCCGCTGTAAAGTGTTTTTGCTGTAATGGTGGACGAAATGCCCGACTGGGCAAATCAGTTCGTTGCAGAGGGACAGCGACACTGAAACAACTGCGTACAAGCAGTAATTCAACAGAATTTGACAGTGGAATTAGCGGAATGGAATACTACACGCAAGGTATTCTGGGCAACTGAAGGATTCCACTTCTTTCTTGCTCCTTATATTTGCTCCGGCAGTGTGGATTGTGTTCCAATCGAGGATTTGGAGGTGTTGCTCTGCGCAAAAGTTGAGTGCTCGCTTGCAGAGTCCATCGGCTGCTCTAACTCCGCCATTGGAATTCAACATAAATAAAAATGGCTTGTCTTTATTAGTGCTTCTTTGAAAACTGATATGGAGTACACAGGTTTCAGTTGAATACGCAATGAACCTTCCCTCATCCTATCTGAACCTATCGCAACATGGGCTATATTGCGATTATGTGATGGGAGATGACACTACATCGCCGATGTTAGGCTGTCGCTAATGCCGCGAACACAGTTTTATTGCCAATGCTATGAACACTTCCATGTTTTGTTTTAACTTTGTCAGCCAATAGCCAAGAATGCTCTAACAATCATGGAACTGAGTTCTCTTTACCTATCATGTCTTGTGATATAACAGGCAACTTTGACACACGATGCCACAAAATTGTACAGAAATGATGCATAAGCTGAAAATTATTGAAGAAGTTGAAAACAGCATAGGGCTATGAAAAACCAGTTCGCCTAGGATTCCACAAATTTTGTTGGAAGACCATGCTGGTAAAGAAGGATAATTTAATGACTGGGAAAAACAGTCACCTTATGTGACACTGTCAGAGGAAATGGTGACAACAGTAAGGTTCAGAATCAGTATTTTCTGGCGGTCTATTTAGGAGATGGTACTTTAATGAGATGCTGCATGACGCATATAGCCAGCAGCTTGCTTGCTATCTTTGCACAAGACCGGAGTGCTGTTGGTGCACTGGGATGCATCAAATGTGAAGTCTCATAAAGAGAAGCTACTGATATCAGGGCACATGAAAAGCATGTAAGAAGGTTGAACTGATAAGCCACTGGAAGGCACGTATACTGTATGGTTTACAGATGTTTGTACATGCATTATAGAGAAGTTCGCATGAAATTTGTGCTATCACAAGAGCCTTTTACCAGTGCTGCTACTCATCCTGCATGAGACCAAACAAGACTTCTCATGCATCTATCGGCTCCCAGTCTTGTGTGGACTGTATGAGAAAATACTAGCAAGGAGGCGTCACCTCGTTGCAATTATGCTGGCTGTTATCTCATATGAAAACAATGCCGTAGATACTGCCATGCCTGTGTCTACATTCACAAATGTGCTATGTAGCATCTACAACATTCGAAGAGTCGTCTGTAGGTGATGCTGTTGATGATCTCTTTGAAAGGAGCCTCTTTATGCTTGGCTAAAAAAATGTCTCTAAGAAACTCATTAATTTCTTTTTTTTTTCAACTGAGAAAATAACACCTTAGCATATTGGGAGGTGTGGATTGTAGTACACAAAGTGTGCTAAATGTCACAAATAAAGCTTCATTGGCACTTACATTACACTGTTAATTTCGCATTCACTTTCTGCCACTTTTGGTTCCTGATCACTTGAAGGTATTGGCCTACAGTTTAAATATAGGCTCCTTGCAATTATGCAAAAAGAAACGGTGCATTACAGATGCAATTTTCGTTGACTGGATTCTGAAATGCCCAGATTACTAATACGACACTTTAGGAGTTGTATGAAAGTGTTATACTCAGGGTCACACTGTATGTATATGTAGCATATCATAGGTATGCCATCTGTTTAACTTCCACATGCAGGAGTATTGATGAGGTGTGTATTTTGATTGTGACAGCTGAGGAGGCACTTGTTGTCATGAGCCTAGTTCTCCGCTAGCACTTCAGTATTCACTTTGCATTTTTGTATGGAATCATTGCTGTTCTCATAAGGGCTATTTGCATAATCTCTAAAATATATTTATTGGGAAGTTGTTAATTGTCTGGGATACACGAAACAGGGAGAGCTATTTTTATATTCCTGGGACTGTTTTTGGAATTACATTGTAACACTACACAGCACTTTTGTGTACCATAGTGCACTCCAAAAATGTCACCAATACACAGCAGTGAGCACTTACAAAAATCACTGCCTCATTGATTCTCTTTATTTCTTTTCTTTATTTAAAATATGGAAGACTGTTGCTAGTAAGCAGATCTGTGGTTCTCGTGTGCTCATACATGGACAGCTAGCAAGTGTAAATGGTAGTGTGTCTTCATACAATGTACACATCAAATAATAATTTGTTTTTACTTTTTATCCTATAGGTGTCATTTTTACGAAATGTAACATGGCCACTGTGTGAGAGCAATCATCAGAAAACCCTTAACTCTCTACTTGAGCCGCTACCATTGTCTACGGATTCATCCAAACAGACAGCAGCAAAAGGTAAGAAGACATGTGGCTCTTGGTAGGGGCACTCTTCAGGCTGTTTTCTAAAATTCATAGTTCTTGCTAAGCCCTGCCAAAAGTGGGCAGGTAATCCGTGTATTAACACTAGGGGTAGATAAGATGCACCGCCAGAGGAGGCGACCAACGAAAAAGGGAAAAGTGAAGAATAAATTGCCGCTTTCTTGCATGCCACATATGGATTGAGTTAAAGTTCAGGTGGTTCGGCGGTTGGCTCGCGACGCCCGGCCGTACACACACAAGAAGGTACATACAACCCGCTCCAGCTTTAGGAAAACATTGGCCATGATACAAAGCTAAATGTGCCCTCCCCCCTTTCTTCATCTCGTCTCCCCCTTCTTGCAGAAAATCGTATAACCAGTAATACTCAAAATAAATGAATGGGTATTCCTTAACAAATGGACAAATAAAAGCATAAACAAAAGGATAAAAAACATGAAAAAAAATAAAAACTAATAATACTGACATGCGCCGATTGTTGCACGTAGCATCGAATTCGTTTATTTTCACGCCCTAGATTGATCATGCTATGTGTGTGAATTCATGTATGCATAAATAAATAAATTGATTAATTCACTTTCTCTGTTCTATGAGACTTCGCGGAGGCATGTCGGTTGCCCAGGGCTCTCGTTGATTCCGTGGACAAGAGATCTGAATTTCTTTATGAAGTATGACTACCGCTGTTCGCGCTCCCGTGTGTTCTGGAAGCCGGATTGTAGGAGTATGACACTTATGCGCTCGAAAGAGTGACGAGGCAGTGTGATGTATTTGGAGAACGGCAAATTAAGGAGGCCCTTTACGTGTGCCTTGTGGTTGTTGAAGCGCAAACGGAACGCAATTTCTGTCTGTCTAATATATTCCTGTTTGCACACTTCACAGCGAATTTTGTGTACTACATTGGCCGAGTCACAGTTAAGGTCGTCTTTTATTTTGTACACAAAGTTTTAACAAGATGTTTGGCTGTATCGGTGGTCACCATGTGTGTGCACACCCTGCAGCGAGGTTTGCCGCACGGTCTACAGCCCTGATAGTGGTCGGATTTGTGTGTTTTCGTTCTGGCCAGTAAGTCTCTCAGGTTTTTATATCTTTGGTAAACCACCTTGGGCGGAGTCTGAAAAACGGCAGAGAGGTGACTACTCTGTTTAAGTAAGTTGAAATGGTGGTTTAGTATAGAGTTCACCTGGGGGGCGGCAGCGGAGTATGAGAGGATTAAATTTGCCGCTGACGTTATATCTTTATTTCAGTCTTTTTCTTTCTTTGTTACTTCTTGGTCCAAAGAGCGAGCGTGCTCAATGGCATTGTCAATTATCTTTTTTTGGGTACTTTTGACGCAAGAAGGCTGCTCTCAATTCCTGTGTGTGGGTGTCGAATTGAATAATTTCAGAGCAAATTCTTCTGGATCTGTGGGCTTGAGAGTGAAATATATATATTGTAATGAATCTGAATGACGGACGCTCTGCTGTCATCGAAGAAGACGATGATGATCAATGGCTGCAGTAGTAGCTCGGCACGCCGCTCGCTGGTAGCCAGACCTGCCTCATAAAGCACCTTTCGCCAAGCTGCGTCTGAAGCTTTCTCGACGTACGACACCTATATTTTAAGTGGTGGAGGAGCCAGGGTTCTCATCAACCTGGAACTTCGCAATAGGACGCTACCCTCAGCATTCACCATGACTGCTCCTGGCCCTTCTCAAGCTGCCCCACCACCAACCGCATACTGTACTGGCGTGCCTCGGCAACGCGACCCACCAATTTTTCGCGGCAACGACGAACATGACGTTGAGGACTGGCTCATCGAGTACGAAATCGTAAGCGCTTCCAACAAATGGAACGCCTGCGACCAGCTTACGAACGTGCGCTTTTACCTCGCTGATGTGGCCAGCCTCTGGTTCAAGAACCACAAAGGCGAAATCACCAACTGGTCCACCTTCAAGACCACCATCGCCGCGGTCTTCGGTCGTCCCGCCGTGCACCGGCTTCGCACGGAACTGCGTCTGCGTAGTCGAGTCCAGCGCAGGAACGAGACTTATACAAGTTACATCGAAGATGTCTTGTCTCTTTGCAAGCACGTCGATGCATCTCTAACCGAACACGACAAAATCAAGCACATCATCAAAGGAGTTGACGACGATACCTTCCAGATGCTCGTCGCTAGGAACCCACAGACTGTCACCGACGTTGTCCAGCTCTGTCAGGAGTATGACGAGTTGCGTAAGCAGCGTGTCTCGATGCGCAGAGCCGCTGAAGATACAGCTGAAGTTTCTGCCCTCGTGCACGACGTGGCTACGGATCACACCGTCTTACTGCCCCACATGAAACAATTCATCCGTGAAGAAGTTGCGTGTCAACTTTCTCTTGTGGCCGAAGCATTCGAGCCAGTGACCTATTTTCGAAGACTCGATGTATCCAGACAAGCCATTTCTACCTACTTATGCCATTACTCCCACAACTGACGCCAATGACCCTATGGATGTATTCCGCAAGTCCAGTGATTGCCACCTCACGTCTGGGCAGTAGGAACAACTGATTAAGCTCCTCCAGCGTTTTCAAGCCTCCTTTGACCACAATCAGCCTTCCTTAGGTCGAGCGTCATCTGTTGTTCACCGCATAGATGCCGGTCAAAAGACACCATTACAACAGCCTCCATATCGTGTGTCAACTGCCGAACACCGTGTCATCAATGAACAGGTCAACGATATGCTGAAACGTGGCGTAATCGAACCGTCAAGCAGTTCCTCGGCCTCTCCAGTGGTACTGGTGAAAAAGAAGGACGGATCCATCAGGTTCTGCGTGGACTACCGATGCCTCAACCGAATCACATGCTAGGATGTGTATCTGCTGCCACACATTGACGATGCCTTGGATTGCCTACAGGGAGCCGAATTTTTCTCTTCTTTAGATCTGCAGTCTGGATACTGGCAGGTACCCATGGCAGAGGCCGATCGCGAGAAAACAGCTTTTATCACGCCTGACGGGCTGTACGAATTCACAGTCATGCCCTTCGGCCTCTGCAACACGCCAGCTACTTTCGAGCGAATGATGGACGCTATCTTTCGAGGCCTCAAATGGAACGTTTGCTTTTGCTATTTAGATGACATTGTCGTCTTTTCAACTGATTTCACAACCCATGTAACCCGCCTCGAGAAAGTCCTCGCTTGTCTCTCCGCCGCGAAGCTGCAACTGAACCTATAGAAGTGCCATTTCGCCGCTCGAAAGCTTACGATCCTTGGCCACGTGGTTTCAAAGGACGGCATTCTTCCTGACTTTGCCAAACTTACAATTGTTTCAGCATTTCCCAAACCGACCACCATGAAATAGCTCCGAAGTTTCATAGGCCTTTGCTCCTATTTCCGGCGCTTCGTCCGCAATTTCGCGACGATCATCGCTCCTTTGACCAAGCTCCTCGCCGGCTCTAGGGACCTTTAAGTCTGGTCTGCCACCTGTGACAATTCTTTCAATGAATTGCGCTGCGTCCTCACGTCGCCGCTTATTCTGCGACACTACGATCCATCGGCACCCACAGAGATCCACACTGACGCTAGTGGTGTCGGGCTAGGCGCTATTCTTGTGCAGCAGAAAGACGGCTTCCAAGAGTACGTGGTTGCCTACGCAAGCCGAACTCTTAGCAAAGCCGAAACCAACTATTCCGTCACTGAAAAGGAATGCCTTGCGATTATTTGGGCGATAGAGAAATTTCGACCTTACGTGTACGGGCACCCTTTTGACGTCGTGGCTGACCACCACGCGCTCTGCTGGTTGTCGTCACTGAAGGATCCAAGTGGTCGCCTCGCCCGATAAGCGTTACGCCTTCAAGAATATGACATTCACGTGGTCTATCGCTCCAGTCGGAAACATTCGGACGCAGACGTCCTCTCCCGTTCGCCCCTACCCCCGGACCCTGCCTGCTGCATAAGTCTCATCTGTGATGCCACTCCCGTCACCATCGCCGACATGCCATCTGAGCAACACAAGGACCCTTGAGTTGCTTCGATTTTAGACATCCTGGCTGAGCGGACAGCTTCTCTCCCTACTTGCACGTTGCGCTGGCAAGTCGAGCACTTCATCATTCGCGACGACGTGCTGTACCAATGCAACTACGCACCCGGTGGACGTCAGTGGCTACTTGTGATTCCACGTCATCTGCGATCCGAAATTTGTTCCACGTTTCATGACGATCCCAAATGTGGCCACGCAGGTTTCCTGAAGACTTATTCTCGCATACGGCTCCAATATTACTGGCGTGGCATGTACCGTTTTATTCGACAGTAGGTTCGGGCCTGCTCGGCGTGCCAGAGACAAAAGACTCCCCCTCATCACGCCAGCGGTACCTTATTACCTTTACCATGCCCCTCTTGACCGTTTGACCGTGTTGGCATTGATATCTATGGTCCCCTTCCCAACACTGCAGATGGTAACCGCTGGATCATAGTTGCCGTCGACCACCTCACGCGGTATACTGTAACTTCATCCCTTCCTTCATCTACAGCAAAAGGTGTTGCGACTTTCGTTCTTCACAACGTCACGGAGCACCTCGAGAGTTACTGAGTGATCGTGGTCGCGTATTCTTGTCAGACGTCATCTCAGCATTGCTGCGTGAGTGCCACGTCGTTCACCGCACTACAAGCGCCTATTATCCCCAGACGAATGGAATGACGGAGCGCTTCAACCGCACCCTCGCTGACATGCTGTCCATGTCAGACCACTCCAGTTGGGACCGAGTGCTCCCGTTTATCACAGTTGCCTATAATACCGCCATTCAAAGCACTACTGGGTTCTCTCCTTTTTTCCTCCTTTACGGATGCGAACCTTCTTGCACTATGGGCATCATTGTTTTGTGCCTGACTTCTTGGAGTCCACGACTCTGTCCGAAGCCGCTACATACGCTGAATAATGCCGCCAACTGGCAAGATCATTCACAACACAAGACCATGGACGCCAAAAGCACCACCATGACGCATCAATTAACACTACTTCCTACGATCCAAGTTCGCTCGTCTGGCTGCATGTCCCCTCTACTACACCTGGCCTTTCTACCAAGTGGGTCCCCAAGTATCGTGGTCCATATTGTATACTGCAAAAAACGTCACGGGTCAATTACCTCATCAAGCCACTGGAATCATCTTCTGACGAACGTCGTCGTGGCCAGGAAATTGTCCACATCTCGAGACTTAAGCACTACTACGACCCTCCCGTGTTTACTTGTCCATAGGTCGCCAGGATAGCTCCTTATTTCGCGGGGAGTAATTGTAATGAATCTGAATGACGGACGCTCTGCTGCTATCGAAGAAGATGATGATGATCGGTGGCTGCAGTAGTAGCTCGCACACGTCGCTCGCTGGTAGCCAGACCTGCCTCATAAAGCACCTTTCGCCAAGCTGCGTCTGAAGCTTTCTCGACGTACACCTCTATTTTAATATATATATATGTGTGTATATATATATATATATATATATATATATATATATATATATATACACACACACACGCACACACACACACACACACACACACACACACACACACACACATCTACACATATCTAGTTGGTTTTAAGCGAAAGTTCGTTTTATGTGAGGCCGTTATATATGGGCTCTACTGTATTCCCACACCACCACCAATAACTGCTAGTATTTATAGTTCATTAGAACTGATACTTCTAAGTGACTGTTGGAGCAAGCACACAGTTATTTCTGGTAACTGCAGTTCTGTGGCATTAACCCTTGAAGGCCGAAAGATAAAGTGAATGCATCAAGTACATGTTTGTAAGAAAATTCGTGATGAGACCAGCTTGTCCACTACTGGTTGTTCACGCGGGCCTGAAGATGATTTGAACATTTGTTCATGCTTTACTCTTTTTCCAGATGGTGCATGTGTGTGTTCTGCTTGTTTGAATATAACAGCAGAAATCGTTAGGAGTTGAGTAAATTTGAGAGCAGTGATTTAATCTTATTGCTAGCAACCTATGTACAGTCGGATCTCATTAATTCAAGCACGCTTAATTTGAACTTCCAGTTAATTCGAACTCGCGCTGTGGTTTAGTCAAAGCTATGTGTATTCCAATGGGCGAAAATTCCCTGTAATTCGAACGTGCAAGCGCTTGTGACAGTTAATTCGAACATACCACACTCCAAAAATGCTCTCAGTACCACACCCAATCTCGCGACAGCACCTCCGACATCTCAACGCTGCGCAGGAAGAAGGAAAAGAAGAAAAGGAAAGAAAAGGCTGCGGCGGTGTGTTTGCTCTCCCTCAAATGTCGATCTGCGATGCACCTGTGTCACGCTTCTTTTTTTTTCTCTCCCTGCCACTTAGAGACCCTTCTCCTTTCAATGCCATGCACGAAGAGAGAGAGAGAGAGAGAGAAAAAGAAAGAAAGCTGTCGCGGAGTGTTGGCTCTCTCTCTAAAATGCCGATCTGCATTGGGCCGGTGCCACGTTTCCCCTTTCTCGTCCCTGCCATGTAACATAGAGACCCTTGTCCTTCCAACGCCGTGTGCAAGGAGAGCAAAAAAAAAAAAAAAAAAAAAAAAGCTGCCACGGAGTGTTCGTTCTCTCTCAAATGCCGATCTGCTCCTCCCCCGCGAGGAGACGCTGCTCCTTCCGCGTCATGTGCTGGCCACGCTCCGGCTGCGAAGCAGAGTGTAGCAGCAGAGACGCAGTCATTGCCGTCGTCTTTAGAAAGTGTTGGCGCTGTACTTACCCGTGCGCTACTTCTTCTGCCAGGAGAACGCTGAAGCCGAAGTTAAAATGCTTTGCAAACTGCGTGCGAAATCGATTGATTCGCTGCAAGGCAAACATGTCCCTATGTGCATTACCGATTACTTCAATTAATGACTGATGTCCTGTGATTTGTGAATAAATGTAAGTCTTCTGTAGCTTCCCTCTCGTGTGTTAGCTCAACGCACATGCGCCAACGGCATGGTGAGCCCTCTGTTCATTTAGCTTCCATTAACTTGAACTTCTTTTAATTCGAACAAATTTTCGGGCCCCTTCATGTTCGAATCATTGAGATTCGACTGTATCTAGGTTGTCTCTAGCTGTTACTTTGTTACATGGAGGTCGCAAATACATGTGCTTCTATGGAGCGATGGCGGGGAATAGAAAAAGAATGACAGCATATTCATGGGGTGAATGATGGAGAGCGGGGCAAGAGCGTGCCATTAGCCGTGCTGAAATGAGATGAAGTGGGGTGAACCTGAGAGTTCAGCCTCTTTGACTGCTAGTGATTTTGTACTGGCTTTCGGCAAAACTGGAAAGCTTACCTATTCGCAGAGAAACACAACCTTATTATGGTAAAAAATTATTTTTAATATTGAACAGCAGTTTCTGTAAGTATTTCTGGGTGGAATGGTAAAGAAAAAATGGCAGTTTTGAGACTTTGTTTTTTTAATGTGCGAGTTACCTTCAACTGCCATCGAATGGTAATTGTTTCCAATAAACCCTCTTTTTATTTACTGTCAAAATATTTTTTTTAGTAAACACCACTTTGCTGTGTGAGATCTTGAAGTGGCGAGCGCCACGCTTTCGGAGTGAACGGACACGGCAGATGCGGTCGGTACAAATAAAACAACACATATTTATTTACCTACTTTTAGAACGACGATATCGTCAGCCACATTATTATAAATCAATTGTAATCAACCCGGTAAAACAGCCTTACACAAAATTACACAGCAGGTAACAACACAACAAACACAAGAGCATGCAAAAGGCGCCGTCGCCAACGCTTGACTCACCACGCGGGCCTCGGCAGACGGCCTGCGGTGCCGTGCACCGGGGACACACCGCGAGAGACAACCGTTCGCGCCAAACGCCACGTCCATAAGAGACTCGCTCAACTCTCTCTGCTGCCTTGGTTCATTGCCGGCGCTGCCGATCTAACAACCATGATGATGATAGCGTTGATCTACGCTCGCGAACACAATGCCACCTACCGCTCAATAGTTGTGACCCCGAAATACGGCTTCTGTGTGAGACACATGTTCCACACGGCCCAAACAACTTTACGAGGGGTGTCAGCACACCCACAACTGGCAAACTTTTCACTTGTTATTCTCCAATATTATCATCAAAATCGTTTAAATGCACACCTAAAAAATTCTAGCTGTTTATTGAAAGTTCTCACAAATTTTTATATTGTAGTGGAGGGTTAAGGTGCTTTTTCTTATTGTATGTCTGGGTTCATTTAACACTGCACATGTTAGCCAGCTGCCCCGCCGTGGTGGTCTAGTGGCTAAGGTACTCGGCTGCTGACCCGCAGGTCGCGGGTTCGAATCTTGGCTGCGGCGGCTGAATTTCCAATGGAGGCGGAAACGTTGTAGGCCCGTGTGCTCAGATTTGGGTGCACGTCGAAGAACCCCAGGTGGTCGAAATTTCCGGAGCCCTCCACTACAGCGTCTCTCATAATCATATGGTGGTTTTGGGACTTTAAACCCCACATATCAATCAATCAATCAATCAATCAATCAACATGTTAGCCAGCTATGTGAATTAATGACTGAATGACTTAAATTGTATATGAGACATTACTAAAGCACTGTTGCAAAGTACTAGCTTGTCTTTGCATCAGGAATCTGATTCCTTAAGTTTTTAATGAGACTGCTCTTACAACGTACTTGTCTTCTCTCATCAGCTACAGCACCTAAAAAGAGTGCAGATGTTGAAGATGATTCAGCGGCCTCCGACTCTTTGCCTGAAGAGGTCCTTGTGATACCGATGCCAGACTTTACACCTGAGTGTCCTGGCATGCTTAGCGAAGAAAAGGTGAGGCTTATGAAAGTTTTTCTTTGTGGTTTTTACAAGGACTGCTAGCTCCTTTTGACCCAGAAGAGACATCGCGGGCGATTGCCAAGATGCAGTGGAAGGGTGCTGTTTTTGTTACAGCAGCAAGTTCTGTACATTTATCAGTGAACTGGAATGTGTTGAAGTATTGAGGGTGTTATATGTAGTTTTAATATCACTGTCATGAGCAAGAGCTCATAGGAAGAAAGAAGATAAGGAGGAGCAGACAAGATTTGAAGTGGCACAAGCGGGCGCACCGTACCGCGAGACCCGAGGCGTGTGACCCGAGCTGGGATCTGCGCTTGAGCAGCGGTTTGCTGGCATTGTGGTTTAAGAGGGGATGAAAGAATGCTCACAGATGTTTTATCAAGAAAGTTTAGTGTGCCTGATTTTGACGGCCAGTGCTTCAGTTGATAAGATGCGTAGTGGGCACAGGACTTGTGTACATGGTAACAGTTTTTAGGACAAGGAATGCAAGGAAAAGGAGTTGCATGTTGCATGCGGTTTCAAAAAGGCAACAGTTAGCGAAGGGAATGCGAATGAAAAGTGCGGGGAGGAAGCGAACGAGACTTGTATAGGTAGCCTAGAACAGGGTGCGTACAGGTCTTTGAAATCCTTGAAAACCCTTGAATTTAAAAAATGCGTTCTCAAGACCCTTGAAAGTTCTGGAATTTTTCTCTGTCCTTGAAAATCCTTAAGTTTCCTTAGTAGTGCCCACTCATATTTACATGGCAACCTCACTAATGTGGTAGGCCGGTGAGTCGACATGACAAGCTCCCCATTTAAAAAGCAGTAATTCGACCTGAGCCCTCATGATTCCATTTACAAAGCTACACTGCAAAAAAGTCAGTTTTGTGATGAAGGCGAAGCATTCAATGCAATAGCAACAAATTAGAATGTGACATAAAGGATGCAAGCAAATCGATACTTCCAGTAAGCGTGCCTCTCAATAATAAAAAGTGCACGAAAAGAACACACACAATAATCAACTGTCAGCTGGACGCTTGCAACACGCTGCTTAAGTGCAAAGAAGAACGCTTGTGATATCGAAATGTTCTCGCAGCAGTCGCACAGGATGCCAGCACCATATCTATGCCAGGTAACCACTCAAACGCTCAGTTTAAGTAGCATGAACGCATTACAAGGGAATGAAGTTCAGTGCCTGCTGAAAAGGAGTGCTGAGTGAACTGACCAAGCTCTTCACTCGGCAACATTCATGCTTTATGTTCGCGACGTCACTGCCACCAGGTCCGACACGACCAGACCGACCTACAGCGAAGGCAAAATATGTGCTTACCTAGCTTTGCAGCCTCTCAAGCACAGTGCTTTGCACTCCCCTGATGGCTTCCCATGTTTTCCTTCCAAACTACATTAAAAACATTCATGAACGTGTTTAGTTTTTTGCTTGTATAATTCGAAAGCGAGAGGGTCGTCATTTTGCAGGTCCGCGCACTCGCCGCGGATTTGCAAAATTGTGACTTCGTCATTAGCGCTCTTCGCAGATGAGATCAAGTGTATAAATTGCACAAAGATTTATTTATCTTTGTGCAAGTAAAATAGCATTACGTTGAATGTTCTGAACATGTTGGTGAACATCATTAAGCTTATACTGGAGAAATTTAACTGCTGTTTTAAAAGTTCATTATGTATATGAGCTTTTTTGTAGAGTTTAAGACTTGCAAGGTGATCCAAGCTAATTATTATCATTGTGATATACATTTACTTATCTTTATATATGTTAAATAACACTGCAATGGACACTCTGAATATACTTGAACTTCTAGCCTATACTGGTGCAATGTCAACCACTTTTGTAAACGTTCATTCTGGTGATCTTGAGAAGTTATCAAGACCGTATTTTTTTTTTACAATTGTGATGTCCTATTATTGATTTAAAGGGCAAAAAATTGGTCAGTGTTTAAATTATATAGTAAAAAAAATACATTTTAGTGCCATGCACTTAAGTCTTTGAGAAACGTGCAATAGGTCTTGGAAAGTCGTTGGACGTCCTTGATTTTTTTCTTGGGAAAGCTGTACGAATCCTGGGAACGTCCCCCCCCCCCCTTCGAAATTTTTTTTGGCATTGCATATAATAACACAAGATGACCATTTGCCTGCCCCTCCCCCCACCAAAAAAAATAAAATTTAGAAAAAGTTTTTGCCTACGCCTCTGGCGACTGCAAAAACCAGTCAGTGCAGAGAGTTTCAGAAATAATTATTTGCTTCAGACGCTGGATGACAGTCGTGTGGAAATAGAACAGAACTAGACAGTTCCAAAGGCACAGAGAATTGTTCATAATTATCAGGATGCAAGGAGGGTTGTGAAAGGTGGCAGCGGTAGGTGCGGGAGATGAAAGAACAAGACCACTTTGAAAGTGCTGGGGCGAGGAACCAGAGACGTAACCAGAGGTCAGGCGCTACCTAGGAAAGCGGTTCTGAAGAGGCATCGGAGGGGTAATAGCAAAAGAAGAGGCAGCAGCTGTATTGAGCGTCTTAGATGACGGGTCACGAATAGGCGTAAAAAGAAGTTGAAGAAGACGTGTAATGTAAAAAAGCACTGTTTGAAGAATACCTTATGAAGCTTGTGGCTCCTGCGTAAAAATGTTTGTAGAGTGGAATAAATTTTTAGTGTTGAAGACTTCCGTTGAAGTGGAGTGTTGTACACACAGTTTGGGAACATTCTTCAAAAGTGAGTGTTGTGTATTGCTTGTAGTCATTCTTTTTGTGAGTGTAGTCATGTAAAGTTGCGGTTTATAAACTCTTGGACACTAAGCAGTTTAGTGTAAGGTGTCATGATGTGGGTGCTTGAAAGTGTGTTGTGATGACCAGTGCGAGTTGAACAGAAGAGGGAGTAGAAGACAGCCGAGTACAAAAAGTTACAGATCAAGATTATGGCATCAAAAAGACGCTGGCAAGAAGAAGTTTTTTGAGAAAAAGCTCTTGAAAGGGGTGCGTATATTACGAGCAAGAGCCCATAGGAAAAAAGAAGACGAGGAGGAGCGGACAAGATTCGAAATAGCACGAGCACACGCACTGTACCAAGAGGCTGGAGGTGCATGGCCTGAGCTACGATCGGCGCGAGCAGTGATCTGCTGGCATTGTCAACGTGGACTTGCAAGGAAAAGGTCGCATCGCCAGCAAGTGCACTGGCGACGGGAGTGTCAGGACAGTGACTCGGCAACCTGTGACGTGGGCGTCCCGAGAAGTAGATGGAGACCTCCGCCTGCTTCAAAGGAGGCTGCTCGGGATGCAGCAGCTGTGCACATTAAGCGTCGAGGTTCCTGCTGCAAGCCGACGACGACAGTCCCCGGGTGGCCACATCAGTGTGCAGCAGCCGGTATCGCTTGCTGCCACTAGGTCTAACCTTGATGGCCTCCGCCACGTCAGCAACGACGTAAGGTGACGACGACTACTGGTAACCACGTCGGCAGCGACAAAGACGATGATTTTCGTTAAGATCTTCAAGAGCCACGACAAATCAGGACATTCACAAGAAGCACGTCTGCTTTGACAAGTAAGGTTGATGAGAAGCATTAAGGCTATAGAGTTCATGGACTATTTCATTCATGGACTATAGAGTTCAAGGACAGTTTAGTTGGTTTGAGGGTTAGTTGTAATTTAGTTTGGAGTTATTATTAGAGGTTTTGTACATTTTCTGTATGTTTTTGTCATGAGTGTATATTAAATAGATTTTCTTGTTAACCGAGTTTTGTATCAGTCCATCACGTGCCGTAGCCGCCCGTAATTCGTGACAATCACCCTATCCCAAATAAAGGTGGACCAGTCTGAGGCACCTGTATTGAATCGCATATGCCAAGACATTTGAGATATTTAGTTTTAAACAGTGCTATGCTTGTGCAGCAGCTTCTCCCACTTGCTTTGCTCTTCCACCTTGGGGATTTTGCCTCAAGTCACCTTGATCATTCTTTAAGTGAAACCTTGATACATCTTCTTTGCAGAGTCTAAAAATGTTGATTTGTTAGGGCTTCTATGGACTTGCATGTAAGGGTTGGCAAATATCAAATTTTCTACTGCGAAGTCAATTCAAATAAAAGCCCATAGTGAGTGAAATAACTTTTAAATATTTTTTTAATATATATAGCATAACTGCAGACGTGCTAAAAAATTTCTCTCACCAACAAGACGTAATCTGGTGCTTTGCATGCAAAAACTAAGATATAAAACAGTAATTTTGTTGTACACCAAATAATGTACAGGAAAATCATATAATATACAGTGCTGTAGCTTTACAGTACCTCATACTTAGTTACCGTATTTACTAGCATAATTTGCGCACTTTTTTCGCGATTTTGGGGGCCCAAGAAGGGGGTGCGCATATTCGCGGGAATTTCGTGAGCCCATACAAAATATCGTGTCACAGACCTAACGAGCGGTATATATGTAAAAAAAAAGAAAAAAAATTGGAGAACAAAGTGTACTTGTTAATTTAAAAGAACTATCACGTACTTTACCTAGTCAGATCCGGTCATGTGTGGCTTAGTGGGAATCACTGATCGCAAAGTCCAATTGAGAATTATTGTCCCGGCCGCTGCCACAGCCCTCCCAAAGTGCAACGTCCTCGATTCTGTCGAACGCGTTCGAATGCCCCATTTTCGTAGAGCTCTTCTCGACAATGCTGGGAGAAACTAGGTCCCACGACACGGCGATGCCGGAAGGTATAAGCATCCGCACTTAACTGGAAAGGCCTTCTTCAGTGGCAGGAAACTTGCATTAGGAAGCGCGCTCTCTTCTGCTTTCTCGCGAACCGACCGCACCGATCGTCACACGATCACCGTGTAGTGCTTTGCAGCAGTACAGTTTCAGTTTTCTTCTGCAAGATTTACGAAAGCGAGCTTCATTTTTGCCGTATATATAATTACGTAGCACATTGCAAGAAAACCGTAAAAGCGCGTCAGCCGGATGGTGAAACCTAAACTTCGAAATTCGACCAAGCGTGCGTTGCAGCGCGGACGCAGAGAACG